GGCGGAGGTCTACAGTAGAGGGAAGCCGTTGAAGGTGAAGGATTAAGTATGTTCTCAAATTCCTTTTCACCTTTATTTCAGCTGAAGTTGAGTTCTTTTGTGTTCTGAGGGAGAGGGCTCAAAGTGTGGTAATTTGTTGGAAGCACTTCAACCTACCACGTTTTTAAAACCATTCTCACTTAACTCTGGGTTCCTTTTATTCTGAACACTATCAACACTTCTTGCCTTACGTTTTTCATCATTTCATAATTTTAAGTTGTGGACTGCGGCTTTGTCAAGTTGCGTGCTATGAATCCGGACAACGGTATTGAAACACTGATGCGGCTGCCAATATCAAAATCATCAGCTGAACAGCGAGCTGGACGAGCGGGTAGAATACGGCCTGGCAAAGCGTATCGGCTGTACCCCGGTGAGCACTTCAGCAGTTTTTTTCATTTGTTTTCACTGTAGTCTGTTGTGAAAATTTGGTTTTTTCTTCAACTCCCCACCCCTTCACTCCTCCCCATTTGTAATTAGCCAATTCTTTTTTCATGGGTTCGTTTACTCAGCTACGGCTTTGTTGTTCATGAATAATCGCGTTTTCATGAAGATATCCTTCCTGGCTTTCGAAGTCAAACTCCGTCCAGTCCTGTGAACGGGGTCGCTTACCCCATAACGCTTCCTCTATTGATGCAGGCCACCTTTTCGCCCTCTGAAAGGTGAGCTCAACGGTGACAGCCCAACTAAATTTCTCTCCCTTATAGGTGAGAATGAGACTTCAAGACTTGCAACCGTAGTGTTGTAGGACCATTCGTATTGTCTACTTACCGCTACATTCCTTCAAATGGATGCAGTTTCAGCAGCAGAAGCTACAAATACTACTTCTACCACTACTACTTTCTTCTTTTTCTTCTCTCTAGCGTTAATCCCAAGCCGTTGCAGGGTCCGCTGTACTTGCTAACATTCGCCATCTTCTCCTATCCAGGGCGTCCTCTACCGTAACCTTCATCACGTCCCTCTACCATTTCTTCGGGGCTCCTCGAGGTCGCTTGCCTTGTGCTTTGAAGTCCAGTGCCTTCCTTATGGGTGTTCCTCGGGCCTTCTCAGCACGTGCCCATACCATCGCAGTCGCTGCTCTCGTGCCTTCAGCTGGATTGGAGCGTCTGTGTGACGCTCTGACGTCCTCGTTTCTGACTCTGTCGAGTCGTGTCCAGCCGCAGGCTATTCAGCATCCTCGTTTCAGCTGAGGATCTCAGGATATCTGTCAACCGCAGAGCCTTCCTCCTTCCTTTTCCTTCCTCCATCCGTCTTTTTCTTCCTTCCTTTTCTCATCCTTCTTCCTTATTTTCCTTCTTTTGAATGCTCGAAAAGAAGATGCGATGATAAAACATCTCTGGACCCTCACAGCAAGAGAGCATCCGGTTGACAGATATCTTGTAACCTTCAGCTGAGTGGAGTTGCCTTGCATGGTTCTTGCATATAGGCCAGCATTCACTGCAGTAGAGCATCGCCGCCAGCACCACAACCCGGTACACCTTGCCGATTGCAGAGGATACCGATTAACTCCAACTGCATATCCATTATTATTTAACGAGTCTTTGGTTTGAAGTTGTTTGTTGATTTGAGAGGTAAGTAATGCGCTTTTCTTTCAGAGTCGCAGTATGAAAAGTTATGCGAGGGTACGATTCCCGAAATTCAACGTTGCCACCTCGCACCGGTGATTCTGCAACTGAAGGCTTTAGGGATTCAGAACGTTCATAAATTTCACTACCTGTCGGTAAGTTACCGTTCTCACCCTTCAGGCTGTGCTACTTATTTCTGATATCTCCGTGCTTTATGCTTCTAGTCTCAGATACCCTTTTTCAGAGACCACCTTCCTGGTCAGTTATCAATGCGCTTGAATTACTGTATGCTTTGGGTGCTTTGGATGAAAAGTAGGTAAAGTTTGGATGTCTGTTAAAATTTTGAAGCAGTTTTTTTGGTGGATTGACCCCTCATCTCATTTGCCTTTCTCTCTGGATTTTGAATTCCTCAAATACGCCCTTCAATCTATTGGGTCGGCCCATAAGTAATGGACGTTTTTTCTCACTCAAATATCGCGCTGAAGAAGAAAGTTTTGCCATTGAGTTCCATACCGTTTGGCAGAGAATTCCTTGCCCTACACGATAGTATCCTTAGTTTTCTTCAAGTTTCTCTTTCCACTAATATTTTAGTGATAAAAATGGAGTGTCAGGTTGACGAAATTGAGCATTTTCGACAGCCTCTCTTTTATGCCTCTAATTAAAAAGCTAAAACCGCATGGGTCCAGCTGGTAAGTATATGGCTGAAAGGCTACGTCTCTTAGGAATACTAATAATACTTTAAGTGATTCGAAGATTTCAGTTTCGACCTCACAGACAAGCATCGAACCTAATGCCCTATTCTGTCCAACTGAGAGCTTACGGAATTACCTTATTAACTGAGAATCATGCCAAAGATTGAGGGATCGTTAGAGGTCATAGAATACTTCCTTATCATTATCAAGCATCACCTCACTTGAGTGGAGAAGTTCAAAACTTAGTGGATGGGTTCCGCAAGCAAGATGGCCCCCACGCGATGCTCTTTTACAAGGTCCGAATTCCCACCACTTGATAGCTTGAACCAACTTCAAGCTGTCATAAGACGCATCTTTCTTTGGTCATATATACCACAAGGTTTGAGCTTCTTCTGTAGATTGAGAGCCGAGATACAATTCAAAAAGTAGTTGTCGAAAACTCTTTTTTGGGTCATTTTCCATTTAATGAAATAAAAATCGGCGGAAATCATGAAATAGTAGGGAGGTAACCATACTATCTTATAGAGCAGGAAATTATCTATCAAACAGTGTAGAACATATTGGGAACAATTGTCGTTTTTCATAAAAACTTGTGTGACAAAAAACGCCATTACTTATGGGCCAACCCAATACATTGCGTTGCTGCTGTTATAACTTTTCTTCTCTGTAGTTGTTTTGTAAACAAGTGTGCCCCGTGTTAATGTTTTCGGTTTTCAGATGCATGCTCACGAATCCACTTGGTCTTCGAATGTCCGAGTTTCCTTTGCCGCCCATGCACAGCAAGTGCTTGCTGACGTCAGGTGCTTCTAAACGTCCCTAATCCAGTTTTCTGCTCATATTTTAGAGGCGAACTGTACACTCATTTCCGTGGATCCTGGTCCTTGCCATGTGCGCAGTGAACGAGTCCGCAGCTGCAGAGGGGAGTGATACCCGAATGCCATCTCTATACTCCGTGCACTCTGCCGCATGGCAAGCCACACCGCCTAACCATAACCGAACGCGCTATTTGTCTGCGTCCTCTTATTTCTACTTGTTCTTACCGCTGAGTGCATGTTTCGCTGTGGGGTCTTGGTATCGATGCAACCGCTGCACATTAA